CAATTTCTTTTCTGTAGCGCTTCTATATGTCGTTCATATTCACAAATTGTTTCAGCCATTCGTCAGGTTTCCTTCACAAGTTATCGAGTTTTTGAGTTTTCCACAGATTTAGTACTCTAACATAGCACTCTAACAACAAAAGGACTAACGGATAGTCCATAAAGAATTGCGCTGTTAGTATTGTCAAATTTTCTCATCCTCCATACATTTGATTGAGCCATGAGAAAATGTGAGAAGCACACAAATGTAGGAAAATAAATGTATTTTCTCAAGAGAGCGAAATTTTTTTGAATGATTTCACAAGCATTAAAACACGGTTTCAGTACATTTTTGTGCAACGTCAAATACGCTCTTTCTCGTCGTGTAGAGCGAAAATCATTTGAATCTAAATATTCGACGCAAAGATTAATTTTTAACAAGTTATTGACGCTTTTATAGCCATTGTATTGTTAGAGTGCTATAGTACGAATCTGTGGAAAACTCAAAAACTCGATAACTTGTGAAGGAAACCTGACGAATGGCTGAAACAATTTGTGAATATGAACGACATATAGAAGCGCTACAGAAAAGAAATTGAGTCATTAACTTCTTGTTGTAAAAAAGATATGAAATTTTTCATTTTCCAATGTTTTAGTGGGAGAAGTCAGAAGTTGTCTGACTTTTGCACAAAGCACCATGGGCACGAATGCATTTAGGCTTTTCACTGCTTGGATATGCTCGCTTGATTACGGTATTCGAAACGAAGGGTATCATCTTGGGACGTTCCCTCGTAAGGTATGATCACCTTTTTCGTGTATTGGTATGACGATGGCATTTTTCCAAATTGTTTAAAGTTTTCAGTGAGACATTGACGAGTTAAAAATATGTTGAAGCTGAGGAGAGATGATTTCTGCTGTTTATGTGAGGTTAGGTTGTGTCCGAACTTTTTTGGATTTCTTTCTACTTTTGCGTAAGCGAAATTTTTTCTGATTTTGTGGCATCAGTTTTGAGATCTTAATTCTTTGAAAGGCAAAGAAACTCAATGACATGTATGTTTACTTTTGTCAAATATGCGTCAGATGATAATTAGATGCTTTTTGGGATTCATATACGAACTAACCCTAAGAAATGATGTAACTTGCATTGAGAGACAATACAACTCAAGCCATAAATAGCAAAGTGGACTTTCGCCAATTGCCGAAAGAGTTTGAATAGAAAGAGCTCAAAAGATCAAAAGAGATTAGATTTTCAGAGTGAATATCAAACGAAACCTTGGTTCTCAAAGACTCAGATGTGGTATCAGATTCTCCGACAGTCTCAGTGTACTTTCCATCAAGTCAATAAAAATATAACTCAATAATCATATGAAACTCACCCCTAAACCCACAAAACTTAGCTCAAATCATATCCTCTAACGGCAGTCTATCTAATAACAGCATAGTCTATGCATTTCTTGATTATTAACAGACAGACGAAAACTACATATATATTAAGAACTCAGAAAATCATTAACTGCTGTGCGCGTTAGTCATCTTTAAAGATAAACAGTCCTTAATAATCACAAAAAACAGCACTAACATCAAAAAAAGTATGCAAGTTTGATCTACAAAACTCTGTGAACCCATTGCTACGATTGTGAATCAAAGATGATGATCTAGTAATTTTTCTACTACTCCATGCATTAAAAGTTCTATCTTAGACTTAATATGATAAAGCATAAGATTTATCTCATAAAGCCACGTGTATATACAAAAGCAATATACAAAAAAGCTGGATTGACAACTCTATGTATGAATAAACGGGATACTAATTTATTTGAATTGTTCCTGCAATGATATTGAACATTTATCCTTGAATGTTGTCAATGTTCTCATCGGAGTGCTTCTGATGAGGGTGGCAGAACCACAAAAGACGGCAATCAAACGAGGTTATAGTCTATCGAAGAAAAAGTCTGGATTAAAGAATATCAAACTCATGGAAATATTCTTTGACGACCCATTGGAGCTTTTGGAAATTAATGCGAACTAAAGAAACTATTCATGCGATAACCATCAAGGAATTATTTTTTTTCTAATTAAAAATCAATTTGAATTAATTTAACTTGATAAATTAATGCACATTGATTTTTAATCAGGAAAAATTAATTATTTTTCAAATTAGTTCGCATTAATTTCCAAAAGTCCCAATGGGGAGGATACGTTTCTTTCCTCGTTATTTCAAAGACCGTTCCTTTTCATGAAGATATCAGCAAACAACATGCGAAAGCGAATGTACCTATAAATACAAGATTCTAAACGTTTAAAAATCTTTTCTTCTATTTTTCATCTCTTTCCCCGCACAAAGCGCACGGTGGGATTTGTTTTTCTCAAGGGTATTTAGCATTGTATGCTTTCTTTCTAAAATATGAAATCAGTCTTCCTGCATTTCATTTATATGGATATAAGTCATTACTTTCTCTATTTCTAAACATCTTCAACTTTATTTTTGCATATAGTTAGTAATCCTAAACTTTTATTTATTGGCTGCAAACATTCACATCCATAAAGCAAACTGATTAAATTTCTCAAGGATGAACTCTCTTTGAACGTGAGTAATGAGAAATATTCAGCACAGATATATATTTCATACATCTCTCATAGAAACCTGATTATTCATTCATCTTTTTTTTGCACAAGTCTTATAGATTTAGAGAAATATTAGAGCTCTAATAGTTAAAAAGAAAAAGATTGATTCTTATTCACGTTATTCTTTTTCTCTACCTGTTGCTCTTTCGCAGAAATTACTATTTCTTTATTCATCTAACAGACCTTCTCGTTATTCAAAATTTTATCAAATTTCTATACTTGCCATAGTGTCAAAGCTTTCTGTGACGAAAAGAGGATATTTGAAAATTTATTATTATCTTTACTTGAACGAGATCTATTACTTTCGCTCTCTATTCTACAATATCAAGCTGCCTAAAAGATGGGGAGATTTAGGAACTGACTGAAATATATGAACCATTGAGCCAGGCTACTAATTTTTCGAAAGACTGCTGGTTATTCAATGTTACTTACGGTAAAATAGTTAAATTCGTACTATGACTATACTTTTGTCATTATCATCTCATATTTACGATGTGATGTAACGAAGTTACTCGGGATATTTACGAAATTCATTAGTTTATGGTGTTATCGTCCATTTTATTAGTACGACACGAATCCTAAAGATCACCTAGATTGCAAAGATAACAAAACATCTTGTTCGCCTTTTAGTGTTCGCACCTTAAACCATACATTTTTCGGTAAAAATGAATTTTTGACGTGTGTCTTCAATAAAAATCTTGTCTAAAATTTCTTGTAGTTTGAAGTCTCAAACTTGTATGTACACTTAAGCACTAGAAAGAGCAAACCTCTGCAGTAAAGAACTCTTGTTTAACAGACACATTTTCAACGATATAGTAGAATTTCTATTATTAAATTATTCTTTTACCAAAAACACATTTCTTTTCCAAATTTTCTTTTTTATTCGAACAGCTCTTCATCTCATCTACAAATTTGCTAGCAAAAGCTTTTCAGTGAGGCGCATACCTTGTAATAGTGCAAGATTTACAGTTGGAATGCAGGAGGCTATACGAAAAAAAAAAATTTGGAAATGTCTTTCTGTTAAAAGAATAATTTAATAATAGAAATTCTACTATCTCATTGAAAATGTGTCTGTTAAACAAGATTTCTTTACTGCAGAGATTTGCTCTTTCTGTGTACATAATACAAGTTTGAGACTTCAAACTAAGTATCATGTTGCGTTTATTAACATTCAAGAAATTTTAGACAAGATTTTTATTGAATACACACGTCAAAAATTCATTTTTATTGAAAAATGCTGTTAAAAGAAATTGACCATTTTCAACTTTGATTAAATTTCTATTTGGTTTAATTGTGATATTTGTGGTCAGAGTTAAAACAACATCTTACAATGTATGATTTAGCCTAAAAGGCGAACAAGATGTTTTCTTACCTTTGCAGTCTAGTTGATCTTTAGGAATTCAGATCGAAATAATGAAAGAAAAGTGTTCTACTTAGTTCTTTTGAAGATGCTAGTGTGAGTGTATTCAGAACGTCTTAAAAGAGTCTTAATAATCACTTTGAATGGTTGACTTTCCACATTTCATATGATGAACAAATTTTTCTTTGACAATATCTCATCCATGTCATGTTCTTTTATGTATCACAATATTGACGAAAACATTACCTCCTACATAAACTTTAAAAAATATCTTACGTGGATCAACCACAGGCGTCTGTATACTGAAAATCATCAATTTTATACCTACACTTGAAATAACGGGACTAACTAATTTTTGAGCTAAATTATCAAAGCATCGCCCGTTAAGTTATTGGTTTTAATAGTACTTCGGTATTGGTACATCTTCTCGCCAGATTTTTAGATTAATTATCGATTTAGCGCATATGTACACAAACAATAAATGGCCTCTATTGATAGTGATAATATTCTGTGTGTTATTAATCGGTGCACTGCATTTTGTACTAAGCACGAAAATTATTACTTATATCACATGTAGATCATTACCTGAGCCATTACCACTTTACTCCTCACGTAACCAGTTTGTGGAACTAATAGCAAATGAACGTTTAACTACTGGTGCTGAAATTGGTGTGCAAAGAGGTATATTTTCTGAAATTTTGTTAAGAAATTGGACAAACTGTGCGGAATATCATGTTATTGATTTGTGGGCACATCAAAAACATTATCTAGACGGCGCTAATGTACGTGATAATCTCCAAGAAACTACTTATCAAATGGCAAGACAACGTTTGAAAAGATTTGAAAAAGTCCTTCATTATCACCGTAACTTTAGCAATTTAGCTGTTGTCGAATTAAAAGATGATAGTTTAGATTTTATTTATATTGATGCGAGACATGATTACGTCGGTGTTTGGGAAGATTTAAAACTATACTGGCCAAAATTGAAACGCAATGGTATATTTGCTGGACATGATTATTTAGACTTGAGTGAAGTCAAAGCACGCGCTCCTAAAGAAGATTGGTCGGTTGACGCTTATGGCGTCAGACGAACCGATAATAAAGCTGTCAAAAGTGCAGTGAATGAATTTGCCAAAGAACGTAGCTTACAAGTATTACAAACATCTCAAGAAAAATACCCTAGCTGGTATTTAAGAAAATATCTATAATTAAAGTTTTCTTTTACATGCAATCATCCCTTTTTATTCGTGTCGAGTTCGTTAGCGTTTTCAGCAGTAGTGCTATTCCTTATTATGTAGAATAAACCTATGCTCATAGTAACATGGTACTAAAGTGTGTTCTTCTGATTTCAATAAGCAACCGGATTGATATTTACATCATTCAAACCTGATTTTTTCCTTGCTGAGTCTGTTTTAATGACTATGTTGCCACAATTCGAGAAAAGTAAGTTTTCAGGCATGGAAATTATGGCTTACATATTCTGCTGTTATCCATTCCAAAATACAAGGCAAGCGGTTGCTTTTTGAATCACTCCGAAACGCAAGTAGATACAGATCTGTCTTCATAGATAGAGAGTCCAAAGTGTCCTCTCCAAAATGAATGTTAAGCAAACTCTTAACTTTTTCCGGTTCAGGCGGGGCATCGAATTTCCTGAGCGTCCCTGGATCAATATTTCTTTAGGTGTTGCAATACCAAAATAAATGGAAAGAAGGGTAATCGATCATGCTAAATCTCATGGGAACATTTGTTTTTCAAAACACTATCAAAAATCTATATTAGGTGAAATAATCCATTTTTGCCCGCGTTTCAGTAAAACTAAAAATTCATAACCCAGTCAAGACCCATCCAAATAACATCAGAATATCAAGATTTACTCTATTTTACCTGTTCTAATTTTTTTTCTTAAGAATGGTAAAAAGGATTATTGTACTTAGGAAGGATTTCTAGAAAACTTTTTCAAAAACCAAAGTATTCTTGGTTGACTTTTAAAGCTTTTATTGAGCTGCATCATATAATGCAGGTAGAACAGAGTACACCTTGATATTCTGACGTTATCTGGATGGGTCTTGACTGGGTTATGAATTTTTAGTTTTACTGAAACGTGGGCAAAAATGGATTATTTCACCTAATATAGGTTTTTGATAGTGTTTTGAAAAAAAAATGTTCTCACGAGATTTAGCATGGCCGATTACCTTCTTTCCATTTATTTTGGTATTGTCACACCTAAAGAATATTGATTAAAAACAAATAAAAAAATTAAAAGGTTCTTGTTTGGTACAAAAAACAATTTTTCAGTTATCACGATTCTCTCAGAGCTGTAAAACATCTCATTTTGTAGAAAAATGTTTGCTCTACAAAATGCATTTGTTAAAAAATTTCAGAATCATTTCTAAGAAAACTTAGAGCATTCTAAACTGTACCAAATCACGAAAAAGAAAGGGTTCGAACATTTTTTTTCCGTGATTTAATGTATTTTTGAATACTCTAGGTTTTCTTAGAAATGATTCTGGAATTTTTTAACAAATGCATTTTGTAGAGCAAACATTTTTTCTACTGGTGCACGTCTAATTATGTGCACTCTTTTTTTATCGTTTTTAGAGGATTGCTTTATTTCTGTTTTCCTTCTGAACTTGTATTTGTTCCACCTAAAGGTGTACTCATAAGGATCTGATACCTATAAGCAAAGCCAGTTTTCGATCAGCTCCTATCACTGTCTTGCCACTAGACATCTGAAAAGCGGACCGAATAATCTTTAACGAGAGAGCGGCTTGGATAAAAATCATGGTGTTTGATGTAATCGATAATATTCATTTCGAACGTCATAGTCGAGAAAAATGCAAATATCTCCGATTCTGCTCAAGCAAACTCAATAAATTCTTTTTTGTTTTCAAGCTCTCGCCCTTCTTGACTAGTCCTAATAAAGTCAGCATCTCACTGCTGAATCAGAGATCAAACATGATGTAAAACTCTGATTTTTGGCGCTATCTAGCAAGAAAAATTTGATATTTTTCGAAAGTAGGTTTGACTTTCAAACCTGAGATAACTCTAGATTTTGTAGAGAATACCTTAGGCACAGTGGGCATCCGAGCGGACATTAGGCAAAAAATCGAAGTAACTCTTTTCTCAAATATAAATAGTGTAAAATGTAGCTGTTCAAATTCTCTATCGAATGGTGTATAAATGTCTATTTTGAAAATGGATCCTTC